ACATCAATGTATCATAGCTCGGACAATATTTTAATAAGTGAAAATATTTTAATTCAAGATTTAAAAGACGTTTTAGAGTGGACCGAATTTTGGCAGTTACCCTTGAATTTAAAAAAGTGTGTGGCTATGTTTTTCGGCAATGTTTCTGCACTTCCTCAGCTATTATTGAATGGAAATGTTATCCGCTACGTCAGCAAACCAAGCGTTAGCTGTCAATGCACCAGGCATAAAAATATTAAATGGAAAATATAAAACAGCGCGATGATATTTAAACTAGTCGTTTATAGTTGGTGGATCAGGTGAACCATGTAGTTGATAGTTTCTTCGCAGTACTGAACGCGTTGTTTCAAACAATTCTACAGTCGTTCGAAATAAATAATCATACCAATTCCAGGCAGTAACACATGCCGCTTTTTCAATCGTTATAACTGGTACCGACGCACGTTGAGGATGACGTGATGCATCATTTAAAAATAATTCTTGTATTTTATTTTTTGAACAACGAATAAATGCCTGATTGATAACACCACCTTCGACGTAACCTTCATCAAATATAACATGTTCATAACAGTGTTCTATGACTTTCAGTACATTATTTAACAATTGAAACAGACAACAATATCTTGGATATACCTGACTGATGATATGGAAAATCTCTGACTTGTCCAGCTCTCTGCATTACGATGTGTCTAACCGTAATGTGTGGGACAGGTAAAACAGCAGTCTGCATGCGCCAGGCATTCTGACTACAGCACCGACACCAAAATTGATGGTTGTTGATCTTGCTAGTGTTTTGCCAGCTCTAAAAAAATGAAGCGCGCATTCTTTTTATGTGCTCTACTTCTTTTCTGAAACGAGACTCATCATTACGTACCTCCACCCCTACCTCCCCGTCGTTCCACGTCTCCTCTGAGACAATTGGCGTCTTTCGCATCATTATCTAGATTCGACTTACGAAGGAGGATCCGCAAGTGTGAATAGCCGTTTTAAATGGGAGGTATCCCAGTTCGTAGAGCTTGACAAGCTGAGTCTAGTGGCATAAAGCGTTTTTCTTCACGAAGCTGAAAACTAGGAAAACAATTGATGTAATAATGAAAGATCATATAGGAAACATTAGTATTTTAACGGTATTCTCAGAAGATTATTGATATTCTTCGAGGTATACATTGTGAATAATTTAAGTGTTCATTGA